CCCGGGATGTTTATTAGACTCTTGTTCGGACAGATTTCAGTGAGTTATTCCTAAAAATTAAAGGCCTACAATAAAAAAAATACATATTTCCATACAAAAAAATTTACCGCTTTGAGCACAGAAATATGGACATAATCAGACCGCTAGGGAGGTTAAACCTTAATTTTCCAGTCACCTACTCAGTAGCTCACAAGCGTATTTAGGCATCAATTGACCTCTGTCAGTGTAAATAATCTTAGGGCTTTGGTGTAAATTCTAAGCAATCCCAATCCTTCTATCATCCCATTCAGTAAACACACATAAATTATATTAACTAGTTGCCACCCACCCACAGTACATTTACTGCGGGCATGTGGCACAGGCAGGCTGGATCACGTACATGTACATCACCCAGCTGAGGGGCTCACAGTGTGCTGCCACTGCCTGAATACTGCCACATTAGTCATATGATGACACTGTACTGCACTGGTAACAGTATAAAAAAAAAAATTGTGAAATAAAAACAAATTTTATTTAATTTCTTAATTTTCCCAACAATTGTGACAAAATATAACCACTTCAAGCCCGGGCACTTATACCCCCTTCCTGTCCAGGCCAATTTTCAGCTTTCAGCATTGTCACACTTTGAATGACAATTGCGTGGTCATGCAACACTGTACTCATATGAAATTTTTATAATTTTTTTGAGACAGATAAAACTTTATTTTGGTGGTATTTATTCACCAATGAGATTTTTATTTTTTTTTGCTATATAAATTTCAAAAGTCCAAAAATTTTGAAAAAAAGTGTTTTTCTTAACACATTTTGCAAATAAATAATCTTTCTCCATAAATTGTAGCCAAAATGTATTCAGCTATCTTTTAGTAAAAACAATTAAACCCGAATTAGTTTATAACTAAATATTATAATTTTTCTACATTTTTTGCTACATTTGTATTTTATTTTTTTTATTATTATTTGTTTTTTTTTTTAACATACTGTCATCCTAGAACTACAGTGTCACCATAGTGACACTGTACTACTTGTGGGGGGTGATGAAGATTTTTTTTTTTTTTACACTGATTGCTTTTACACCACAAGGAGGCTCTGGGTAGTGGTGTCACTCGGGACTGGAACTCCAAATATGGCGCGCGTGCGGAGCATGCTCGCTCCCAGTGGTGTATTTAGGTTTTGTGCTGCCCTAGGCAACACACAAATTGGCACCCCCCCCCCCCCCCCCCGCAGAAAGAGCCTGACATTGACCAAGAACACCCCTGCTCTCCATCCGAGCCTTCCACTACCACTGCCCCCCATACACCAGCCACCATCCCCCATGGCAAAAGAGAGAAAGACACTCACTAGAGATGAGCGAATTATTCAAAAATTCGATTCGGCTGATTCGCCGAATTTCAGGAAGAAATTCGATTCGATGCGAATTAATTCGCTACGAAGTTAACTTATAAAAAGGGTTTCTAGGCTTCAGAGAGCCTTTAAATTAGTGCAGAACACTGTACCTTTAATTTAAATGCCCTTGGAGATGAGGAAGGAGAAGGAGAAGGAGAAGAATGAGAAGGAAGGAGAAGGATGAGAAGAAGGAGAAGGAGAAGGATGAGAAGAAGGAGAAGGATGAGAAGAAGGAGAAGGATGAGAAGAAGGAGAAGGAGAAGGAGAAGAGAGGATGAGAAGAAGGATGAGAAGAAGGAGAAGGATGAGAAGAAGAAGGATGAGAAGAAGGAGAAGGATGAGAAGAAGGAGAAGGAGAAGGATGAGAAGAAGGAGAAGGATGAGAAGAAGGAGAAGGATGAGAAGAAGGATGAGAAGAAGGAGAAGGATGAGAAGAAGGACAGTTCTGTGACAGTTTCTGTCTATTTCTGACAGTTCTGTGACATTCACTCCATACAGCGGTTTCAACCGCTGTATGGAGTGAATGTCACAGAACTGTCAGAAATAGCCTATTTCTGACAGTTCTGGGACATTCACTCCATACAGCGGTTGAAACATTGTATCTATTTGTTTCCATAAATGGATCCATTTATGGAAACAAATAGATACAATGTTTCAACCGCTGTATGGAGAAGGATGAATGTCACAGAACTGTCAGAAATAGCGGAGCTCTGCAGATACACTTAGAGGAGCTCTGCAGATACACTTTTTGCCGGCTTGGAATTATTCTTATTTTCATCCTACTGAGAAGAAGGATGAGAAGATCCTCATCCTCTTCTTCTTCTTCTGAGGATGAGGATAAAGAAGAGAAGAAGAAGAAAAAGGAGTAGGATGAAAATAAGATTAATTCCAAGCCGGCAAAAAGTGTATCTGCAGAGCTCCTCTAAGTGTATCTGCAGAGCTCCTCTAAGTGTATCTGCAGAATAGAGGAGCTGAGATACACTTTTTGCCGGCTTGGAATTATTCTTATTTTCATCCTACTTCTTCTTCTTCTTCTCCATCCTCATCCTCATCCTCTTCTTCTTCTTCTGAGGATGAAGATGAGGATGAAGAAGAAGGAGAAGAAGAAGAAGTAGGGATGAAAATAAGATTAATTCCAAGCCGGCAAAAAGTGTATCTGCAGAGCTCCTCTAAGTGTATCTGCAGAGCTCCTCTAAGTGTATCTGCAGAATAGAGGAGCTCTGCAGATACACTTTTTGCCGGCTTGGAATTATTCTTATTTTCATCCTACTTCTTCTTCTTCTTCATCCTCATCCTCTTCTTCTTCTTCTTCTGAGGATGAGGATGAAGAAGAAGAAGGAGAAGAAGTAGGATGAAAATAAGATTAATTCCAAGCCGGCAAAAAGTGTATCTGCAGAGCTCCTCTAAGTGTATCTGCAGAGCTCCTCTAAGTGTATCTGCAGAATAGAGGAGGAGCTCTGCAGATACACTTTTTGCCGGCATGGAATTATTCTTATTTTCATCCTACTTCTTCTTCTTCTTCTTCTTCATCCTCATCCTCATCTTCTTCTGAGGATGGAGGATGAGGATGAAGAAGAAGAAGAAGTAGGGATGAAAATAAGATTAATTCCAAGCCGGCAAAAAGTGTATCTGCAGAGCTCCTCTAAGTGTATCTGCAGAGCTCCTCTAAGTGTATCTGCAGAATAGAGGAGCTCTGCAGATACACTTTTTGCCGGCTTGGAATTATTCTTATTTTCATCCTACTTCTTCTTCTTCTTCTTCTTCATCCTCATCCTCATCCTCTTCTTCTGAGGATGAGGATGAAGAAGAAGAAGAAGAAGAAGAAGAAGTAGGATGAAAATAAGATTAATTCCAAGCCGGCAAAAAGTGTATCTGCAGAGCTCCTCTAAGTGTATCTGCAGAGCTCCTCTAAGTGTATCTGCAGAATAGAGGAGCTCTGCAGATACACTTTTTGCCGGCTTGGAATTATTCTTATTTTCATCCTACTTCTTCTTCTTCATCCTCATCCTCTTCTTCTTCTTCTTCTGAGGATGAGGATGAGGATGAAGAAGAAGAAGAAGAAGAAGTAGGATGAAAATAAGATTAATTCCAAGCCGGCAAAAAGTGTATCTGCAGAGCTCCTCTAAGTGTATCTGCAGAGCTCCTCTAAGGTATCTGCAGAATAGAGGAGCTCTGCAGATACACTTTTTGCCGGCTTGGAATTATTCTTATTTTCATCATACTTCTTCTTCTTCTTCATCCTCATCCTCATCCTCTTCTTCTTCTTCTGAGGATGAGGATGAGATGAAGAAGAAGAAGAAGAAGAAGAAGGATGAAAATAAGATTAATTCCAAGCCGGCAAAAAGTGTATCTGCAGAGCTCCTCTAAGTGTATCTGCAGAGCTCCTCTAAGTGTATCTGCAGAATAGAGGAGCTCTGCAGATACACTTTTTGCCGGCTTGGAATTCTTCTTATTTTCATCCTACTTCTTCTTCTTCTTCTTCTTCATCATCCTCATCCTCATCCTCTTCTTCTTCTTCTGAGGATGAGGATGAAGAAGAAGAAGAAGAAGAAGAAGAAGAAGTAGGATGAAAATAAGAATTCCAAACCGGCAAAAAGTGTATGTGCAGAGTTCCTCTATTTCTGACAGTTCTCTGACAGCTTCTTCACATGTACAGCGGTTGAAACATCTGTATCCTAAATGGAAACTAATAGATACAATATTTCAACCGCTGTACATGTGAAGGAACTGTCAGAGAAATGTCAGAAATAGCGGAGCTCTCTGCAGGGACACTTTTGCCGGCTGATCGGGAAAAATCCGATTTGCGCACCCGAAGTAGGCAAATATTCGGATTCGACGCGAATCGAATTTTTCCTGAAATTCGTATCGAATTCCGGTTCGCCTGGTTCGATTCGCTCATCTCTAACACTCACCTTCACAGCTCTGGACATCCCCAGGTACGAGAGTCGGGCTGTGCATACACCATCATGCAGGGGCGGACTGACCATTCGAGCACTCGGGCACTGCCCGAGGGCCCGGGGTCAGTAGGGGGCCCATGAGATGCTCCTGGTACCTTTCATTGGCTTTTACATAGGCTTTTTTGGGTGTGGGTGAGGACACAGGGGCCCCATGATCCCCTATTGCCCGGGGGCCCCATGAGTTGTCAGTCCGCCCCTGCTGTAATGAAACCCACAGCATCTCTCAAAACCCACCAGGTCCCCATGCCACGTGTGTCCCTTCTTCTGTCCCTTCTTCTAAGTGGCAGTGCTGCTCCCCTGAAAAATGCTGCCCTAGGCAAATGCCTTGTTTGCCTTGTGGTAAATACACCCAAAAAGGTAAGTTTTAAAGCAAGCCGACGATCAAGATGGATCGGATCTACGGATTGGGGAGCATAATGGATCGGACTCTGCGGGAATCGCTTGCTTTAAAACTTACCTTTTTATGGAGCGGGTCCGATGTCACCCCGTGCGATAGGTGTCACCCGGTGTGGTGCACACACCCCCTGCCCCTGCAGGAGAGAGCCATACAGGGGATCGGTTCCATTCCATAATCGCCCCCACACTGTGTCAATCACCCTCCCTTCCCACATCCGATTCACCCAGCAGCTGCCTGAGTCTCCCTGCTGGCCTGGGCGCCGTATAGGAGGACTGATGGTACTCCCTTATCCACGGTCCTGACGGAAAATAATCTGTACATACATGTGCAACTTTGTCAGCCATAGACAAGACTTGGCGCATTTGCACCTTAAGATTGCCTGTAGTGCTTGGCAATGGAAAGGATTGGTCCTATGCAGGTGTGGACTCATGGGGCCCCCGGGCAATAGGGGATCATGGGGCCCCTGTGTCCTTGCCCACACTCAAAAAAAAAGCCTACATAAGGTACCAGGGGCATTTCATGGGGCCCCCTACTGACCCTTGGCTCTTGGGCAGTGCCCGAGTTCTCGAATGGTCAATCCGCCCCTGGTCCTATGTATTTCAGCACACTCATCACCTTGGCAGCAATAGAAAAGTGAAGATCTCACAGGAAGGGTTTAGTATGACTAATAGCAAAACTTTTTTTTTATAGAGTAGAGAGGGATTAGAATACCAGTCTGGTTTTTATTGCTGTTTGTACCCTGTTATGGCAATTCACTCTCTCTATTTATCTTTTTTACCATTATCTCTGAAAGTGAAAGAAAAACTCAAATGATGGGATGTCTCCAGGGCAGGAAATCTTCCATTGGGGACACTAGTTCTGGTGACACCCAGGGATTTCCTCACTTGGAATTTTCTCTCACTTCCTGTTTTGGCTATGGGGTAGGAAGTGAAGGAAAATCTCCCCAATGGGACACAGATGGCAAAAAAATAAACCTGTAGGGGTTATAACTCTCCCTTACTATATCAAAAATGGAAAAAATGCCTTTAGTTGTACTTTAACTTGCATTAAAGGAGGAGGATAGCACAACCTGCATGCACCCATGAGAGGTACAAGTGATCTGATCTTCATTTTTACTGTTGCCATATTTGACAAGTGTGGTGAGGTCTTGCAGACACCAAAAAACACAAAATACGCATGGTGCAAAAAAAGTCATTTTTTATACATCAGTTACAATCATCAAGTCATTTCAGGGTAAATAAAATTTTCACAGCTACAACAAATGGATCCCTGGGGTGCATTTCATCCAATATCTCTTCCATCTAATAAATACAAGGTGGTATCAAAAAGTTTCAAGACTAGTTTTGTAACACACCAACAGATGGTAGCACAAGGCTGCATGCACAGTCACAGGGAGCACCGACCTTCATAAGTCAGTGTGCCAAAAGACACCGTCCTGTGTACATCGGGAGCTGTGCAACTGTGGGAGTTGTATTCTGTCCTACGAGAATTTTTGTAGCTTTAGTAACCTCTTCACTTTCAATATGAGACTAGCATGCAAAAAAAAAAACAAAAACAAAAGATCATTCATCCAATATTCTCAGTGTGTAAGGGGTTTAAGTGATAGGTCAGTGGCCCAATGTATTTATGCCAGGGAAGATGATGTAACAGCCAGGCAAGATGATTTCCAGAAGGTTATAAATGTGGATTTCTTGTGAAGGTTTGCAGTCAGTATGGTGAGCCCAATTCACATAACATGAGTGAACCTTCCACTAGACATAGATCAAGGATATATGAATGTATTTAATGTGTAGGTAAACCCAAAGACTAAAATCTCAGACAAGCCTCATTTACACGGCTGTGACACAGCTGTAAACATTTTACTGAACGTGTGGCTCATTTGTTCTGTGCAACTGGTGCTGACCACGTACATTACCACGTCTGCTAATTCATCACGGACAGCAATTTAGAACAAAGAGCAAGCGTGAAATTCTGCATGAAACTGGGCAAATCTGCCACAGAGACATTAGATGTGATTCGGCAAGTTTACGGTGTTGCTGCAATGAGTCGTGTTTTGAGTGGCACGTGTGCTTCAAAAGCGGAAGAACCTCACTGGAAGACGACAAGAGGTCAGGAAGACCTTCAATGAGCTCAACCCCCAAAAATGTTGAATTGTCACAACCATTTGGCAACTTGTGCATGATGACTGTAGGGGAATGATGCATAGCATTGCTGCCATTGCCAGTGTGTTATACGGAACAGTCCAGGCAATCCTCACGTGTGATTTGAACATGCGCTGTGTTGCTGCCAAGTTCATCCCCAGGCTGCAATGATCTCACTTCCGCACCCACCCTACTCACCAGATTTGGCTCCTGCGGACTTCGCCCTCTTCCCAAAGATGAAGAACCAGCTCAAAGGTCTCCGTTATGACAACATTGCAGAGATTTTGAGCGAATAGCAGAAGGTGCATGACAGGCTTCGAAAAGAGGACTTCCAGGACATATTCCAGAAGTGGCAGAAATGCTGGGAGCGCTGTATTGCTGTGCAAAGGGACTGTTTTGAAGGTGATAGTGTATAAATGTAGATAAATAAAGTACTTTCTTGTAAACAGAGCTAGTCTCAAAACTTTGATACCACCTCATAGATGCCAACTGTTCCAGATTTGCAAATTCAACAGGCTCTCTAGCCTCCCCCTACTCCACTAAAGAAAAGCATTTTTTTGGAAATTCTTTTTTTTTTTTTCCCTCCAATAATGCTTTTTATTGTTTTTTTTTATAAATAATGTAATCAATATAAAAGGTAAGCGCCAAATAAAGGGGAAATACAGAACATTTCTGTTCAGAACAAGAACAATCAATGAAAGAAAATGTTTTGGCATAGATTTATTCATACATATGGTATAGTAATAGTCCTTATTATGTATATCAAAAGGATCATTAATACCATACCTTGGAAGTATCAGATTATTATGACATAATAAATCATCTGACAATGGTACATTAGCCAAAGCAAGTGAGCCTTAAGGCTACGCTCACACTAGCTTTGTCAGCAGGCATCAGACAGGCGTTTGGGAAGCGTTTTTAACGCTTCTCAAATGCCTATGAAAATTCTGAACATGGCAGCGCACAGTGCTGTTCACACTGAAGCATTAGCATGGTGGCAAAACTGACGCCTCGTGTCCAGTCAGGAGGAGTTGAAGCCTCCCATTCAAGTCTATGGTGCCACTCCTCAAATGCCTGGCAGGCGTTTGAGGTGCTGTTGTGAGGCGGTTGAGGAGCGATAATACCATTTAACTTCATTATAGGCTTTTGTGGTGCGGTTTTAATGCCCACCTCAAAACGCGCATAGGGCTTTTGGGGAACGTTTGGGGAGCGTTTGAGGAACATTAAAAATGCTTCCCAAACACCTGTCTAATGCCTGTCAAAAGCTATAGGGGTGTTTGGCAAGAGTTAGAAATAAAGTCAAGTGTGAATGAGCCCTTAGAGATATACTCTGAGGGAGATTTACTAAGACTGATGCACTCAGCATCTGGTGCAGCTGTGCAAAGTAACCAATCAGCTTCTAACTTCAGCTTGTTTAATTAGGCTTTGGCAATAAAACCTGGAAGCTGATTGGTTTGTATGCAGATTTGCAGCAGTTTTTGCTTCTTTCTCCAGCTTTAGTAAGCACCCCCCTCTGTGTCTATGCAGCAGAAAAAGTATACAAGATAATGACAAGATACATATATATATATATATATATATATATATATATATTTTTTTTTTTTTATAAAGCGTTTGGACACTTGCATGCAGAAGAAATGTCAAAACACAATGGGAGAGATTTACAAAAACTGGAGAACACAGAATCTGGTGCAGCTGTGTGTATTAACCAATCAGCTTCTAACTTCAGCTTGTTCAATTATGCTTTGACAATAGTACCCTGGTCACGCCAGGTGTGACTTGCCATGCCATTTACCATGCCATGCGAGTTGCAATTGCAAACCAAGTCGCACCCTAATGTCTGCAATTAAAGCGGTCGTATCGGTGTAATTCCAACTTAGTTGGAGCCGCACCGATTTCTAAAGTAGTGCATGCACTACTTCAGGTGTGACTTGCATAGACATCTAGGCAGATGTCTTGCAAGTCGCACCTCAAGTTGGAATGACACCCGACTTTGAAATCTTCACTGGAAGTTGCATGATTTCAAAGTCGGATTGGTGTGATTGGGGGGTAAAACAAGGAGAAGATGATTGGTTACTATGCACAGCTACTCCAGATTCTTTGTGCTCCAGTTTTAGTAAATCACCCCCAATAACTTATAGGTAGGACTGTTATAAAGCCAAGCTGACCTGAATGAGACCCTTCAACAGTATCATCTTTAACCACATGCCGCCCAGCCACTGTAGAAATACGTTGGCAGGGCGGCATGGCTGGGCAAAACCACGTTTTAAAAGGTGTGTTTTCAAAACAGGTAGAAGGCGCGCCACCGTCCTACCTGTCCCGCCGATCACAGCCGCGGATGTCAATTGCCGGGTCACAGCCACCCGTTACTGGCTGTGTCCCGGCGATTAGCGGCAATCACTAACAGAGAGCACAGCAGCAGTAGCTCTGCTTTCTGTCATTTCCCTGACAGCCCCTGACACGCTGAGCCAGAGAGAAGAGTTTATATCTCCCGATCAGCTGCCCCCCCCCCCCCTGCAGTACACACCCCCGCCCCCTAGTAAAACACTCCCCTCACACACAGTTACCCTTTCACTGAATAATAAACTTAACCCCTTCCTCCCCAGTGCCATTAGTACAGTGTCAGTGTTTTTTTTTTTGCACTTATCACTGTATTGGTGTCACTGGGGATGTCAATGACCCCAAGTCAGTTCCCACCCAGTGTCAGAATGTCCGCCGCAGTGCAGCAGTCCCGCCATAAGTCGCTGATCGCCGCCATAAGTTGCTGATCGCCGCCATTATTAGTATAAAAATTTTTTTTTAAATCCCAGTATCTTTCCTGCCATTTGTAAATGCTATAACTGTCACGTAAACCAATTAATTTACACGTATTGGGTATAAATTGCAGTATCTATACCATAGTTTGTAGACGCTATAACATTCACACAAAGCAATCAATATACACTTATTGGGATTTTTTTCACCAAAAACATGTAGCAGAATACATTTTGGCCTAAATTTATAACTAACTTTGAGTTTACTATATATTTTTTAGAGCTGAAAGTAAAAAATATCATTTTTCTTCAAAATGTTTGGTCTTTTTTTATTTATAGCGTGAAAAATAAAAAGTGCACAGGTGATCATATACCACCGAAAGAAAGCTCTATTTGTGTGAAAAAAAGGACGTAAATTTTGTTTGGGTGCAGCATTGTATGACCGCGCAATTATCAGTTGAATTAGTGCAGCGCCGAGTAGCAAAAAGAGGCCTGGTCATTAAGGGGGGTAAATCCTCAGGAGGGCAAGTGGTTAATATCAATATACATAGAGATAGCAGATCCGACAGAAAATACTGCTTTTGGA